CCCCATTGTCATGCCCGATATCATAGTTTTACGGGAAACCTTGTATTTACCGCCCCAGAGAAAACTAAACAACATTGCATTAATTTTTCTCAGTTCTTCGAGCGGAACCGTTATCAAATTTAAAATGTACTGTAATTTAGAAATACCAATTGCTTTCATAATCTGAACTTTGCCAATAAGAGTAAGGTTGCGTTGTTGCCAAATATTAAATATTTTGAGGAGATCAGATTTAGGTTTTAAGAGATTAAACGCCAACGCTTCATGTTTATTGTATGAAAAATCAATGCCAACTAATTTAATTGGAGACGTAGGCCACTTAACATTGTACAATTTATGTCTACGCTTCCGCCACCTACACAACCATAGGGCTTCAGTTTTCTGAATATTTAGCTTAAGGGCAGAAGCCATATAAAACTTGTTAAATAAATGCAACAGATGATTTCCAGAATTTTCTGTTGATAAGAAACAGGTGAGATCGTCGGCATACGCGGACGACCTAACTTCTTTGTCACCTATTTTGACACCACAGATATAAGGACTTACATTAATTTTGATGCCAGTTTGGCATCCACATTCATAAGGGATATCGGCCGCCAATTTTTCAAACAGAGATGGTTTTTACCCGGTTTATTAATTAATGTGATAACACTTTGCTTTTGTGAATCAGATAACTCGCCCTGTGCATAACCCTCATTTAACGAACCCATGACCAAATTTCCAATAATGTGCCAGAAACATCTATAAAAAGTAACCGTTAGACCGTCGTTTCCAGGTGATTTGTCACACGACATCTTTTTTAGAACCCCGAAAGCTTCATCTAATGTGATATCACCGTCTAGGACAGTGTTTTGTTCTTCCGACAGTTTTGGTATATTTTGATCAAGAAATTCATCTTGGCACAAATTATCAGTAACACGAGACAAATACAGGTCACTATAAAACGACTTAATTTCTGATAATATATGTTCAGGATGCTCTAAAATCTCGCCTTTCGCCCCTTCAAGTCTAACAATATGGGATCGTCTACTGTATTTTGTGTTTCTTTCACCCAATTCATACCACTTTGCTTTGGAGCGAATAATTGCGCCATCTGTTATATGATTATAATACAATTCTAATTCATGTTTACATCTATCCAATTGTTCATATTTAGTCTCAGTTGGCTCACTGGCACACAAAACCTTGTAATAATTTAATTCTTTTTCCAAATTAGCAAGTATTGCTATTTTTTCTTTTGCCTTTTGTTTACTGTATGTTCGTACTTCCAGTACGATGGGCCCCTGGACATACCCACCCACTTGAAGACAATAGCAACTGCATCATGGTCAGAGCCAATGGATGGAACAATTGAAATAGATTCTACCTGATTTTGTGCCGAATCCGAAAGTAGAAAATAATCAAGTCTACTACAGACATTATAATTTGGCCCCTTCTCCAAGTAAACGCTTTGGTATTAGGGTGTCGGACCCTCCAAATATCTACCAGATCGAACACATTAATAAATTTCCTAACACAATTTAGTGACGCACGACGTGCATAATGGCGACTTCCGAGTCTATCGCCCCCTATGAGTTTAATTGCATGTGCATCAGTACATTGTTGTTCTAATAAAAGCGTTACATCTTCAAGAAAACCTAGGTGATCAGTTTCAATATTTGGGACATTAATATTTAAGAGCGAAAACTGAGTATCATTGAATTTAATTCGAGATAAAATATATCGACCGTTATTATCTGAAACTGTAGTTTGAATATCAATTGTATTATTACGAATTATGGTCATTACTCCCCGACTATTATTGGTGCCATGCGAATAGAAAATACGTCTTGAAATCTCTTTGGACCAGAGCTTTTCAATATTCGGTGTGGAATGGGTTTCCTGTAAAAAGAAAATATCAGCGCGTGTATTATTTAACCACATGATTAAACGTGATCTTGCCTTAAAGTTGCGGAGACCCCGGCAATTTAAAGTGGTCACCTTAATTTGAAAATCCATTCTGATTTAACAATAATTTCTTTTGTTGACATTGTAAACATTATATGATAAAATTGAGAAACAAGAAGTACCAAAAAAAGAAAGAAAATAACCAACAAATAATTAACATAAGAAAAACGAGTGATGTATAAGACGACATCCGTGAACTTCACGTTTTAACAAACAATTAATGCAGGAACCATATTAGACATTATTGTTGACTAATGCCGAATTCTTACAAATTGTATTTTCATATTCTTAAATATTGGCATTATCGCTTGCCTTACTACAAATAAAACATGTAATTGAAAATCATATGGACGGGAAAAGGGGCGAACAACTAATAAAACAGTACCTATTCAAGTTTCAGATTTGTTTCAGGTGTTTATCAATGTCCTGGATTGTCACGGAACGCAGACTGTCATCTTCTGCTTGGTACAGAGCAGTGGCCGGTACTTTCCATGCAATAAAACATCTCTTTTCTGGATACCGTTCCCGAAACATTTTAACAAAACGTTGACGTAGAGTTTTCCTTTCTTGTGCAACTCGACTGGAGACGTCGTCCGACACATAAATTAAGGTACCACCAAATGGATTGATTCGAAGCGCTTTCGGTGCATTAAATAGTATACGGTTAGCAGTGCTGGAGTCAACGAAACAGACTTTAATTGGGCGGTGGACGATACCCATCTTTAGCTGGACCGGAAGGTGTTCTGTACGCCCTTTGTATTGCCACATTCTTCAAATTTTTGAACTTCATATGCACAGCAAGTAAATGTCGAATAAGAGATTCACATCCCCCAAATTTCAACTCTACGTTTTCCGGTATGGAAGTGAAGTTTAAATTTTTTCTATGAACACGATATTCGAGGTTGTCGTTAGCGTTTTTGCAATCTGGTGATTTTCTCACGTAATACTTTGCTTTCGGTCAACAGGTGTTCAACATTATCTTTTGTCTTCGCCATTGAATCCTTCACCGTCGCCACTTGGCCGGTAACTGAGACATAATTTCCCTCCAACAGAGAACACCTTTCGTTTATTTTTTCCACATGAATTTCGACATCTTCTATACGCTTACCTATGTTGGAAGTCTGATTACACAGGTAGAACAACATCTTGACTATAAACTGTTCACGGTCTTCACTTACAGGTTGCATAACTTTGTCAACATCCCTGCTTTGAATCAGTTTGTCAATTCTACCAGAGCGTTCTTTACCTCTCGTTTCCATCAGGAATTTGTCTATCGTATTACCGTTTTCACTATGCTGAGTCCCGGCTTTATTAGCTGGCATATTATATCAACGGTATAGTTGAATAAAATCTAAGTCGACCGTTTTGCTGGCCCTGAAATCTTTACGTTCACGGAGCGTACGATAAAACACTACTCACTCATTCCTGTCTTTAATATATAATGTGGCAGCAAAACAAATAATTTTTTCAGTACAGGGTTTGACTATTTTGTGCACGCATGTTAGCATATACTAGTTTCAATCGTACTAGTATTAATCTCGTTTTAGAATAATTCATCAATGACACGTGTAGCTGCGGTTCATATCCCTCTTTGTTGGCAGTCGTCTTTTAAATTGGTGTATACTGTTGAGTATACGATTAAAACAGATCAGATAAGTAAAAGAAAGTTTAAAATCAGTTGTTTGTCACACTAGTGAGCGACAAAACCGCATGCAACACACCGAATCCGCTTTTGTGGGCTCCATTCGAATCGTGTAATGAACCCGAATCGGGAGCTAATACTAACTTCAGCATTGTAATTACAGTAATGCCTCTTCCGGTTGTTTTTAGTCATAACATAATGTAAATACGGTAGTAGAGCGTTACCAGCTGACGTTTCGGCCACGTTGATTGTTTGTATGTCTGCTTCAATCTAACACTCATTTTAGTCACAACGGAGGAATATCAAAGCAATTCGCCATGCACGACGGCGGTGGTGGGACTGACAATCTCGTCAAAATATTTGCCAACATATTCATTTCATTTATTGGAGCTGGTGTATTAGGTCTTCCATATGCATTTCGGGAGGTGAGTACTCCATAAACTTTACAAATTATGTGCCTCGACGTACATGTAGTTATACAACTGTCAAGTACACTACCAATCGTGAGTTCAGTATTGTTGGCGGCCAGCCTTTTATTCCGGGGGAGGGGGTTACTAACCGGCCGCCATAGTGACCAGTAATGGCAGCTTCAGCCCCAACCATTTGCGAAACGGCCAATATACTAGTACTAAATTGTCACTTTGAGGAAATTTTGCGGAAAATGTATTCCACCGTGGAGGCCAGATCTCTCTTTCTCTCTCTTTTTCAGTTATTTTTGTAAAGTAATTAGCACTTTTCTCCATACCAGTATAAAGATTGTTTCAAAGCTTAAAATAGGCTTTTATTGATTTTCAAGGATTTCTTTCTATTGCCGCTGCTAAATGCAGTCATAGCTCTTCTATCACAATGGTAGAGTGTGGACTAAAAAAACCGTGCCCCATCCTCACCTTAAAAAAGTGTTTACTGTAAAATACTTTTTTTTTAGCTGGAATTAATTTTCGCTGAAAAGACTTTTTGGGTGTTTTGTATGGAATTTATTTTCACTGATGTTTGTCCAGTTGAATGTAAAATATAGGAAAAAGGGTATATTCGCTGGATTTTATTTTCACTGAATTATTCCTTCAGCGAAAATTAATTTCAAGCAAAAATAAAGTATTTTACAGTATTACATTACACTACAATATGTTTTGGGGTGGTGTACAAGGCTATGCATGTCGATCAGCACTGATCGAGGTAGCTATATATATTGCACTAAGGTCTGTAACATAGTCTCCATGAAAATTATTAATATGAATTCATTATTACATACCATACATAGCTATCTATAAAATGTATCAAATGTTTTTGTCAAGTAACCAGTTTTATGCAGTAGAATTGGTTTGTAAGCTTTTTGACTTAATTGTTCAACCTGTGTTTTTATATGGTGCAGATATTTGGGGTTAATTCCTATATGTTCCTATATTATACAGTTCTGGGGAAAAATAAGTCGCTGATTAACACTGATATCTTTAAAGCACATGTTTTAGTCTGACAACTCTGAGGCTTAGAATCTACATGTAAAGTTTTGTAAAAGAACTCTTGGTGTGCATTGTAAAGCTTCAAATATAGCATTCAGAAGTGGATTAGATCATTATCCACAGTAACTATCACAAATATTATAAAAGACTTGATAGTGAAATATCCAATATGCTAATAATAATTTCTATGATCCGTTGTTTACATTTATTGAGCACTTATTACAGATTACATTACTAATTATAAAATAACTACTGGTAACATAGACTTTAGCTGACACTGAAACCCTGTGTCATTTTTTCCTTGATCACTGGAAACAAGTTCTTAGTAAATCAGGGCGAAATGAGATGCTTACAATAGTTTTAATGATGCTTACACATTTGTGAGTTATTTGATCTAAAAACAGAAAACATAGTGGCGCTGACCAAATTTAGGACTTCATCCCATTGTCTACCTGTAGAATTAGGAAGACACATGGGAATTAAAAATATAATAGAAGTGACAGAATTTGCCATTTTTGTAATTGCCATTCAGTGGGAGATATTAATATACATTACTTAACAAAATGTGAGCATCACACTGTCAAAGAAAATATCATGAAGTTGCTTGCTGCTTTGTTTATTTATTTAAAGTGTTATTTACTTGTGTGCTTTCTAGAAATGACAGTTATATTCCCAGTAAATTAGAGAACTTTGTTTTTCTTGTCTTAGAATTATTTTAGCTGTCTTTTTTTATTATGTATGTCTTTGAACTGTGCATAAGCTTTGTTTTGTGTATGTACCAAATAAAATATCCTATCCTAACCTATCCTGTATTACATACTCTAAAAGGGTTAATTATTCACTGGGTTTTAATTTTGCTTATTTCGCTGACTGGAAAATGCGCTAAATTAAAACACATTGAATGTGTAAAATTTAGCATAGCACACATTATCTAAATGATTAAACCGTGAATTTAAAACCCACTGAATATCCTTGAAATGGTAAATCAGCGAAATTTAAACTTTAAGCTAAAATAATTTCCCAATAACTTAAATGATCTACATATTCACACAGTATGGTTACTGTCAACAAAATAGATCTGCTTGCTTGCTTATGATGGACTAGCCATGGCTTTGTGTCATTTTGGGTCTGGATATGTTCTTTGCTACATCTGTCAGTATACATGAGAACGTCGATGTGCAGTCCAGTCTGTACACTGACACCGTCCTGTATACATGTACTGACAAGCAAATCCTAGGACCTGTCAAACCCCAAATGATGTGAAAAAATGGCTAATCACAGACGCAAGTTTGCTGGATACCTGTAAATGATGAAAAACAAATTCTAAAAATAGTATAGGTTCGTTAGTAAATGCATATTTGTGTCTTATGCAACAGTTGGTACATGATTATGCAACAGTTACGTTGTTTGTGTGTATTTGATATGACATGCTGTGATGCAACATGTGCTGATTCACTGGTGTGTCATTGAACAACGTACATTGAAATAGTGACATTGAAAAACATTTTAATATATTTATATAATATGTAATTTGGTAAACAAAATATAAAAATAAGGGGAATCAGAGTCACATCCATTTTGTCACCTATATAGACATATACAATTTAAATTTTTTTCATAAAGACCTGACTATGGGGGGATTCCATTCGAGATCATTAAAAATATCATAATGCACAGTGCTAACAGTAATAGACTTGTAATGTAGTATATTCTTCAGTGATCTGTGTGTCACAGCTGTTTTTGTTATTATCGGTAAGCTTTTAGATCTAGAATGTGATTATCAATACACAAATTACAATACGAGTTGTTGGACCTGACACGCTCAAATACATGCCACGCATACATTGCTGAAAAAGAGCTACAATACTACCTAATAAAAGTATTATAGTCAGTTTTATATATTCTTTACTTAAGACATGTTGGCTAAATTTGTCAAAAATAAGGTTAACATAGTCTTCCGCATTAATATTAATGCTGTCAATTTTACTAATATTGTGGTCTCTGGTCTGACATATTCTGAGAAACCAGAATCAAATCAAGGTCAGAAAATTTAGATAGTATTAGATACTGTAAAATACTTTATTTTAATGGGATTAATTTTCGCTGAAAAAGCTTTTTGGGTGTTTTGTATGGAATTTATTTTCACCGATTTTTGACGAGTTGAATGTGAGACAAAGGAAAAAAGTATATTCGCTGGATTTTATTTTCACTGAAGCATCCATTCAGCAAAAATAGTGAAAATAAATTCCAAGCGAAAATAAAGTATTCTACAGTAAAACTGAAATACCGGTAATCAGACTATGTGTCACAATTATAAAAGGCAATGAAATGAAAAAGTTTTTAACTGATAAACAATTAAAATTCATGACAGAAAACATGACAACTGACAATTGTTGATGTTAGGAAACATAATAATAATAAAAAAAATCTGAAGGAATAAAAGGTTGTGTAAATCCTGTGAAGCAAATGACTGTCATTTTGTCATTAAGTGTGAATCCTCAGTACCTCGAACACAGTGCTTCTGTTTGATTCGGCACAACTGACCATGATGGACAATTAAAAAAAAAAATTCAATTTATATAATGGAAAAAAAGATGAATGAAATTTTAAAGATTTTATGGCATTCAGAAACACAAAATTTCACTGACACTAGGCACGTAGGCATGTCGTAGGCACACATTAAAATTTTCAGTAGTACAAATTCTTCAATTGTCACTGACTTGCAAAATTCATATTTGTCTCATGAATTTACATCTAAGATGTAATCTCAACAAACTTTACTCTCATTTAACATTGATATGTGAAAATATTGTCTTAATGAATCGTTAAACTTGATATCTTTTTCAAATGTTAGTGGGCCAAATGAAATAATATGTATGAATAACTTATTAAATCTATATAAAATTAATCATCCATCCTAAACTTTTTTGGGACAAACATGAAAAAATGGCCTAAATGGCAAAGAATTGACTGTGAAACTGTGAACATCAGTAAACAAGGATTGTGTATTTAACAAGCTAGTGCAATGTAGATGATGTCTAAATGGGGAAAAACAATTTTAAATCTGTTTTTGAAACTGTTCTATAGATCTATTTAGGAAGTGCATGTTATTTAAATAAATAACTGATAAATAAATTATAAATGATCAATTAAATAAATATTTAAATAAATAAACAAACAAACGAATGAGCGAGCGAATGTATAAATAAATACATGATCAATTAAATAAATAATCAAACAAATAAACAAACAAACAAATTAAATAAATAAATCTTGATAAATTTGCCCTTTTCATTCAGGAGATTATAAGATTATTTCTGAATATTATATTTACCTCAAATCAAGATATTGACCATCTTACATGTGCTACATTCCCAGTTACATGTAGGTGTTCAATCTCCAAAAGTGTGTGTGTGTTTTTTTTATTAAATCCTACATACATGCATTCATCATATCAATTTCAACATTAGAGATTTACTGTAAAATATACATCAAAGATTACAAGTATGGCAGCCATAACCAATGTATTATATGTAACATGATTTTCAATTGTAAATCAGATACATCTACTTAGCACGCACTTCTGTCTAAAAAACACTAAGGCTATTCACTATTATACATGTATACTGGTAATAATAGCAGACAGACTGCACACCACAATCATCCACCTAGTACAATCACTGATAGTATTTAAACACACAACAGCTGTGCTACACAATAACCTTCTTAGCTATATTAGATCAGAATAAAAACGTATCAGATTTAAATACAATCTTTGTTTGAGGGTCATTAGTTCATTTACTAATTTTTTTTAATGTTGTTTTCACTAATCAGTAATATTCTAGATTGTTTTTTTGTCTGACTATTGTCCCCAGATGTCAATAACTGAATAAATATCAACAAATTATTTCAAAAAAAATTTAATAAACCAAAAAACATTAAAAAAAATGAACTATAAATGCCCCCAAACTGAAATCCTATATTAATCAGTTTGAATTTAAATATAGATTTGATTAAAAATTAAATGAGTATTTCATCTGTTCGGGCATAGACCTTAGAAAACAGGTCTATGGTTCAGGGTATTTCCTTTATAAATTATTACAACTTTGGATACTTTTAGTAATTTATTGTTTTGTGATGCAAAGCAGACAATGTCTGTGTGTATAAATACAAGTACCGGTACTGGTATGTAGTTGTGTGTGTATATAAATCCGTTCTACCCATACAAAAAAAAACCTGAATGAAACATTGTACAATGATGCCAGGAGACAATGCCCAAATGTAGTAGTTTTAGATTGGAATATGTGCATAATAATTACCTAATATGCATAATAATTCCTAATTTCCGAGTTACTATTTTTCTCACGAAATTCGATAGAGGGCGTTCTCAAAGTACCCATATGACAGTTCGTTCGACGTTCGTGGTGGGGTTGAAATTTGAGCGGCGTCAGCTGTAAGCAATATACTAGTAGTTACTGTTGCCGAAGTTTTATTTTTTACAAACATTTTGCAAGAATTGGTCAAAACCGTTAACTGGTATTGTAATGCCCCAGGCTATTCTTGGGGTTTGATTAAAAAGAAAAAACAGCGAAATATCCTGAGATGAAAGGCGTAACTTTTCATACATTTCTTTCGTCCAAGAAATCAACACTTCAACGCCAGTGGATTCGAATGCGTCGTCGGGAACCTGAGTGGACACCAAACTATATTCTCGGGTTTGTTCACGGCATTTTCCATCCTGCACCAGTATTTTTTTAGTTCAATAACTGGAGACAGTCGTCTTTCAACCGCAGTTATACATTGAAAAACGAAGACTCCGTCAGCTTCCCGAGACGAGCGCAGACGAAAACATTGAGCCGGATTTGATGGAAAATTCACTTGTTGCCGATTCCCACATCGAACTTCTTGTTCAGAATCCTTATGATGGCATTTGTTGCGAAGTTGAAGTTAAAATAACTACGGAAGGAAAAAACGTGTGTCCATTTATGATAACTGCATCTGCTGATCGCCTGGTGAATAAAATATTAAATCAAACTTACACTACACAGTTACAAACACCAGAAACTATTTTAGAGTTTGATTTAATAATAAACCATGGCTTGTAAGGATTTTCCTTCATGGATTATTGCCGAATACACTCTGCCATAATGAAAATATATTCTGTATTCTGCACATGATGAAGCTTTACAGAAATTATGAAGTAAATAACCATTATCAAGTCGATATTCTTTCAGT